GACTGATGTTCTAATTACTATTTGTCTTTTAATGTCCTTTTGGAGCTGTGGTTATAAGCATTTTTCTCTTCAGTCCCCCCCCCCCCCCCTTCAGTTTTGCTTTTGTTTCTCGTACTGCAAATTTGAACTGACAAGACGACTGTAACAGGACTCCAAAACATACCTTGAACACACATTGTTAACCAAATTACAATCGCTGATGTCATTTACATGTGTTGCCTTTCAAAGGATGAACACGTTCATTTAATTTGCTTTTTAAATATCCATAACAGTGTCCCCAAGCATTTTAATAAAACAGAAACAGTTAATTATTGCCGAATAAGGATATCCAAATATAGTGGTCTGCAGCTTGCATTTAATATATCTGACAGCACTTCTCTCTTGAAAAGAAAATTGTGTAAATTGCCAGTTATTATAATTTTTAATAAATAAGTCTTATCTTGACTCTGTTTCTCTCTTTCCCACCCCTCTGCAATGCTGTTCAACAACCATACTTTCAGTGGGACCATTTCTATTACAGAGTGATTGAGCTCTGATTTACACATCAATTACCCAACTTCATGGAGATTTTCATGCTCCCCTAGCTGACATCAATGAAGCATAACTGCGTAAGCGCTTTATTTCATCCCAGTTTTTGATAACTCAGACTGATAACTAATCATATTGAAAGACAATGTGCTATGATACAGGAAACAATAAATGCTCCCCTTTGAAACCTCATCTATTCTTTATACGCTTACTATTCAGGAGCTTATCTCTGTCATCCATTCCCCCAGAATCGTTCTTTCCAAATTCACATTAAGGAAAGGTTTGGGGCTGCGTAATACCAAAAAGAGGAGAAAATTGAGTGAAAATAACATTTTCTAGGTACTTGGGGGTGGGGTGGGGTGGTGTAGAAATAACTAAAAAGAATGAAGAATATGACAAATATAAGCCAAACCCTTAGCCTCCTAGCTTAAATTTCCATAAATTGCCCAGGGGTCTCTTGGGTGTTATTTTGTTCGGAGGCTTTAATCTTCTGTGTTCTCTATCAAATGTGCTACAGGAATGGCATTGTTTTTAATGCAAATTGTTAAGAGATTTAGCTGATGTGGATAGATAACCAGTGACCATCTCAAGTGTTTCTCTACAGAACTGTTGAACATCAAAGACAGAATATTCTATATTTTAAAATAAATCATTTATCTTGAAGTGCAGTGATAGATATTTTCTATGCTAGATACTTTCAGTAACTATTCATGCTATGAAGAAGAACACAACATTAAAGTAAATGTTAAATATGAAAGATAGTGAGAAGTTGTAAAGATATTCTATCATGGCTTGATTGGTCTCTGTCAAGTGGTAAAATTACCAGGACAGATGCAAGTTCAGTGGTGATAAACAGAGGAAGAGGAATTTTGCTATTTTAAATGTGACACTGCTTATGATGTTTATTGTTAAATGAAACAAAGACTTCAGATGAGCAGGGAACGTCTTAAGTTGGCCCTTTTTCTGCTTAAAGATCAGGTTTTGAAATTCGGCTCATTTGCTGAATACATTTGAAGACCTGCAATGATATTTAAGACCCGAGGCTGCTTTTTTTTTTAATTTATTTTTTTTCATTTGGAATAAATGTATTGAAATACCAGAGCGTATACTGGGAGAATCGGAATAGACCAAGGAAGAAGCCTGTTCTCCTTGCCTTGTACAATATCGTGGTAGTCTGCTTTTACATGAAATCAATGGAGTTGTGGCGAGATAAATAGGGGGTTATGTAGAGGTGAATTCCCGTTGTAATCTATTTGCTAGAAGTGGTCTTTTACCTAGTTTGATTATCAGGTAAAATGCTTTTTGCCTGCATTTTCACTCGCATTAAAAAAGAACTGCCCTGGTGTGGAAAAGCAAGCATGTATTTTAAGCATGGGAATATTCTCGTTGACCTGAGTTTAGCTTCTCATGTCGGGCAAATATGTTCATGAGTGGTTTTTGGTTTGGGCTGTTTAATACTTTGTGCAGGCATATGACTTATTTTTCGAGGAAGCCCAGTTTCTGAGTTTACTTCACCAGCTTCCAGAGTCCTTGTGGCAGAGCAACAATTCTGTCCCAAAGTCAGAGGTATGAAGGAAGAACCTTAGGAAAGGACTTTCAGTTGTCAAACTCAGTCTTAGCTCAGAAGATTGTGTTTATTTCTTATTTCCACAAACAACAAACGTTTCGGTTTGAGAACTGCTTTCATCACCTAGACATATCCGATATTTTAAGGGGGATATTTGATTTGATAATAGTGTGCGTTTTTGTGAATTTAGGCACATTACTGAGAACAGCAACTACTTCTTCCCTAACTTGTGGATGAATGCTGGTTTTTTTGAATGTTGTTCATTTATCCGTGTGGATGTCGTCTGTCACTACTATAAAGCCTCTCTTCTGCAGCTTTTTTATTGATTCTTTCACTATTGGGCTTTTGTTGTTTTGACTGAATCACCAGAGCAGTGTTCTGTTCTCATTCATGATTCTTCTGCAACATTAGGTATTTGATGTTTTTGGGGTTTTTTTTCTCCTCTTCTGCTTTTTCTTCATATCACAGTGACTACTCCTTCAAACTTGTCTGGTCTGACTTCTTTCTTCCACTCTCTCTCCTGTCTTTTGGGCTCTTGTCTGCCTTGCCTACTCTTCCGTACTTTGGGAGACTACTTCAGTGGCTTTAGTTAGCACATCTTTGAAAGTAAACCCCAGATGTTAGGTCTCAGCCTTTAGCTGTTGGTCTTATTTCTTCAGCTTTCCTTTAACTCTTCCTTCTAACCTCTTGTTCTGTTGCAGTCTCTCCTAAAAGGTTTTTTCTTTTCCCTCCAGAGTTTTTGTACCACATCCTCTCGCTTTCACCACAGATGACTGCACTGTCTTTTCCAGTGCCTCAAATTTTATTCTTCTTCTAGTTCTCTTTTTTGTAGACCATGCATGTCTGACTTTCATTTCTTAGCACCAGATCTGCATTTTTAGCTTCCAGTCCAAAACCTGTGTGCATGTCTGTTATGTTTTGCCTTGATATAACATCCTCCTGCCTCAGCCACCTTCTCCCCTTCTCCGTTCTCCGCTTGATGCGGATTGTCCCTGCAGCCATCGTGGGCCACAGCAGGTATGAAGGGTGCAGCTCCATGGGCCTCGCTGACACTCTGCAGGTTCATACAGGCTGAGCGCCTGGCCTGTCACCATGCATCAGCTCACCGCCGTCCCTTAGGGTGTCCGTAGCTGAGAAGAATGACGAATGGATGTATGCTGGTCTGATTCTAAAGGATTAAGTATCAAATGCTGTTCAAAATGTATTTTCAGCCTGCCTCAGTGTTAAACATACCAAACCAATAATGTAGTTATGGCTAGTAAACTTCCTGCCATATTCAGCACACTGGTAATTTGTAGACCGGTGGTCTCATGTGCTCTTGTAGCATTCCTACTGCTCACCATTCCTCATCTTCTCAGATTTATGTACAGACTTCCCCATTCAAATTCAATTATTAATCTAATAAGTGGTAACAAAACAATAAAGCTCATGTAGTTAAACTATGTTGTCATGTAATAGCTGTGTCAAGGGAACTGGCCCTCTTGGATACAGTGAATATCATGGCCTGCAGCTGTTTTCTTCTAAATTTCTTTCTTAAAAATGTTTGCAAAAGTCTGTGATTTCCTACTCTCCTGATTTTAGAGGACTCACGAAGTATTTCTCATACTAATGAGACAGACTGAACTCTGGTGTTCCTCGTGGTATCTGACTATAGTTTTCACTGACACCTTCACCGCTAATCACATATCTGTATTTCACAGAACATTAGTTAAGCTAAATATTAAACATAAGTCCCAGAGATTGCATTGTGGCTGCATTAAGAGTTTCTGGAGAGCATCCCATTAGGTTCTCAGTGCGCTGCAGCCTTAAGATCTAATCAGCGTCCCTCTTTGGATTACAAGGAACCCAAAGAAGTTGTTATCCTAATCTGTGTATGATCTTATAATATTTGACTTCCTATAGCCACAATTGGCGCCCTGTCAGGCATTCCCATAGCAAAAGTACATTTGCAGAGAAATAAGCCAAGTAATTGACCTGACAGGATGAGCAAGGGCTTCCTTTTGAATAGATACTTTGTACACTGAAGGCTGCCATGTGACTCTCTGTGGAAAGTTCAAAATGAACCTTTTTTTTTTTTTTTTTTATTCTCACAAAAGAAGATGAGAGAGAGATTTGGATTGATGCAGAGGTAGCTGTTCACTTAGGGATTTGCTTGTGCTGTAAAATGGATGCTCACAGTTTGGTAGTCTAAATATTATTGGGGTCCAGGGCATGAGATGTGCCTTTGTGCCCACCTCTTGGGTGCACGGAATAGATACCTTTCATACACACGTGTACTAAAAGAGGAATACTTTAGTATCTTATGTTGGAAAATACTGTTTTTTCAACCTTTTGCTGTTAACATTGTAAATACTGTCTTAGCTTAAGTTAATGCCTTTTAAAGTGATTATGCCAATTTGAATTACTGATGTTTTCATCATTTTTGCCTTTGTGGTTTTGCAATATGTCACAAAACATATCTAAATAGTCTTAGAGCCTTTGCTGCTTTTTCTCAGATAGGATATGGCATAATGCCTCACTTGGTTCCCTAAATACTTTGCACGCTTGAGACCAGAGCCAGCTTTTAGGTAACAAAGTGCAGAAAAATCACATGAAGGGTGAGATCTGTTCTGTCCTATCTGTGTGTTCAGTGGCCAGATTCAGTTTGATTTCAGTGGGCTCAGGATTTCACCCTGAAACTCCAGGCCAAGGCTGCCATTAGGAAGATGTAAAACGCAGCCCTAACTTTCATGAATAATTCTTTCTGAAGTAAATACTGGCAGTGCCTGGGATAGGACCGCTCCCATAAGCAAAGATTACTTATGCAGGATGTAAGTCTCGCTTACACTGGATCCGCTCTGCTGGCGTTGAGACTGGGCTTACAACTTCATAATGTTCTGATCTTGCTGCAAGAGTCACACAATCGATGGGCCAAACTGCCAAAGAAATCCCTGGAAAGATTTCCCATGAGAGAGGTGAATACAGTGTGTTCCTGCTGCTCCTGGGCTGGATTATTCCTGGGCTAAACCAGCCCCATACTCCAGAAGAGCTGTGGGGAGAGATGGAATCATCCTTGTCCTCATCTTCAAGTACCAATTTGGGAAACAGTTTGTACTTGCTTATTCCTACTCGTTTATTCTCATACCTGTGGATTTTAATCTTGATTTAGGACATGAAAGGAGGGGGGAAAGTTGTGCCCTCCTTCACCTTTTAATGAACTGGTTGCTTGTGGTTTGCAGTATTGCGCCAGCAATATGATCACACATAGTATAGTGAAGCGATTGTTGCTTACAAGAATTTTTCTTCGTCTTCCTCCGGAAACCAGCAAATAATACTATAGCTTCTGCATAATACCAGGAATGATTATAACAGTGTTCTGAAGCTTGGTGTTGGTGCCACAGATGTCGCTACATCAGGAGATGTTATAAATAAATGAATAAATAAAATGTGGCAGCTTTTCAGCCTTCTAACTTGTGAAAGAAAATGTGGATGGAAATCATTCAGCTCAGCCTACGTAGGTGGCTTTGCATTCTGTTTACAAGCCATACTCAAGCTTTATTCCATGCAAGCCTGAGTGATCCTGAATTGCTTAAACCAATTATTAATTCATATTTTTTATTTAGGGATCTCATTGTGGCATTAGCCTTTCTTTTTTTCTTTCCTTCCCTATACAAAAAACAAGTATATGAGTGTAAGGATACGTGGAGTCATCAGGCAACAGACATATGCTTTCCTGTGCTCTCTGCAGGGCTTACAGGTTCAAACACAACCTGCCTGAATCATAAGAACTTTAATTGAGTAGATAAAGAGGTCCTCATAATTATAAACTGCAGTAGGTATAACAAGAGGCTAAATACATAGCTGTGGTTTTAATTAGCTGGTGCTTCAAATTAGTAATTGTGGTTTCACTCAGAAATCAGTGACTTTATACACTGTTAAAGCCTCATCACTGTGCAGTTCATTCCTCATTATATCTCTCGGTGTGAAGCTTTCAATACAACATCATGCTGAGCTAAAAAGGCAAAAGTTGTAGATATTTGGTTATCTTCCAAGTGCAGTGGAGCTCTATGGAGATTTGATTCATTCTCACCAGAGAAAGGAGAATTAACTGGTTTTCATTACATATATAATACGTATGTTTGCATGTATGCATTTGTACATAGAGGGTGTGCATGGATGTGTGCATGCGTGTCCAGGATCCATCAGGGAAATGCTGCTTACAACAGATAACATCAGTGCATATACTGAATCTGCTATTCAAATTGTCGTCTGGAATTTGGTAGCTAATTAGCTGACACAAAGCAGAGCCAAAAGCCTTATAACAAATCAAATATGGGTTGAAAGCACAGAAGTGTCCCTTAATGTTTGTCACATGAGAGGTTGTCAGTGCAAGTTGAAGCGTGCATCTTTTCCTTTCCTCTTTCCTTTCCTATTTTGCCCCCTCCTTCGGGGTTTTAATTATATCTTTTCCCTCAGAGGAGCAGGAGGTAGTTTGCAAAGCCGAGAGACCAAAGTACTTCAGTGCTATTCAGGGGAGAAGTGAATGTGGTCTCTCAGCTTGTCATCTGGATCTGGCAGGTGCACAAAGTAAGCTGACATACAGATGAGTGCCACTCGCCATTGCTACGCTGAGGCGCTAGATCCTTTTCTGTTTGTTTGTGTGAGTGTGTAGAATTATCTGATACTGGAATCAACTGTCGTAAAGGCTCTTCCGGGAGCCTGCGACAAAACCACTTTTTAACCCCCCCTTGACACCCACAGTGAAGCCGTACACAAATTTTAACAAGTACACGGGACAGAATTAGGTGGTCTAAATCACATAAGGCTGAACTGGAGGCCTGGGATGGATGGAGGCGAGTGTTACACAGTTAAATGGATTTGAAGATGTTGCTGTGCTCCTGGACTTCACATTTGCTTTCTCTGCACAGACACTTTTCTTTGTGGGCAGACATGGGTGCATTTGTGTCTGTGCGCGTGCATGTATGTTACAGACTGTTCATACAAATGCATCAAAATATATTTTATTCTTCTGCATAATGCTCTGTTAATTTGAAAAGAACATTTTTGTCTGTTTTCATTGTAGAAGTGTACTGACTGTCCTACTGCCCAATTTCACATACGTAGTCTTATGAGTCCAAATTTACATTTAGGAAAATTATTCAGTGGCTGCTTCTTTCTTTCAGAATTGTCCTCAGGAGTGGCATTGTTTCTGATGCTTTGATGCTCTTACTCTATTACTCTGATAGTAATGAACATGTAACTAAATTACGGGGAAATAACATGTTGTCTTTTTTTGTCTTTCTCTTCTTCAGTCACTATGAGCA